ATTTATACATATATGCAGTTTCTGACTATGCATTTTTGCTAACTTCTTAAACTCTCTCAAATCACCTAATTATGCATAATGGCCAAATACAAATTCTCAAATGCTCAAAATTAAGACGAAGCCAAATGCAATGGAACATTCAAAAGCATCTCAGGAACCGATATCTTTACAGTGTTAGGTGTTCCACTGCACAGCAAACCTCCATACCCCTTCATAAAATTAATAGTACTTTTAAAGCACTGTTCTAGATTAACAAGAAGATACTTCATTAAAAGTTCTGCCCTCCCCCCAATGCTTTTATCATCTGCCCTACCTCAACAAAGATAATATGACTACCAGAATAAATAGCTCTTGAGGCTTAATTCAGAACTGTTCATGCAAAATTAACCTCACTTATCAATGCCGCTACAGAAATGTTTGTTAGACTCCCATATTATGCAAGCATAAGTTCATTCTGCTGAAGTCACTAATTCCATCTGATTCTCTGCCACAGACTGATGTTTTCCTTAATTTAACAGTCTTGGAGTACATTATTTTTCCAGGATGACATGAAATGAATATTTTCTCCCTGTTCTTATTCTGATGCTAACACTTCCCATATTCCCGAGATTCCTGTACAGCACAGTGCCTACTGAAGCCTAGAAAGTGGAGGCAAGCTGCTAAAATCAATCTTCAGAAATAATCAGCATCAAAATACAAAACAGACTTCACATCACTAAGCATTTTTCCAGTTATGAAACACGACCGGATCCATTCAAATGCAGGATGCCAGGGACAGGCTTGAAAGCTATTTCATGGCTGTGGTTTCAATTGTACAGCAGCTAATATGATGGAATTTTATCCTACTGTGCTAGAGTCTCTGGCTGACAAAAAAAGAAAGACAACATTGTATTTAATTTTCTCTCTCCTCCACCCTAATTCTTCTTCCATTACACACAAATAATAGAAGGCCATAAGGATGAGAAATAAATTAACAATTCTGAAGCCTGATTTATAATCACAGATAACAGCAATAAACTCCAGCTGCAGAATATCCTACTGCAACAGTTACAGGACTTCAGGCATAAACCAAGGAGAATGGTAACATTCATGACATCACATCAGTGACCTGTGTGAAGCAACTAGGAAATCAGAGGAAAGCATTTTCAGAAATAACACAGCACTAGTTCTTCACTAATTATCAAGTCTACAAGTTATACTACAGTAGTATCATACAAAATAAAGTTAGACTTCTCTTGTATTTTAATTTTTAGGCAAACAGTCTTGCTTTAGGAGAATTACTCTAGCTCTGTGGAAAATCCACTTCGGATTTCACATATACATGAAGGACATGTTATAGGAAATACGCTATAAACTGCTGCATAATTGAAATGCAGATATATAGACATCGCAGACATATATTTTCTTTCTCATCACTTTATCACTCTGTACTGATGCAAAGCAGTAACACTTCAACAGAAACCTCAGTAGATCCTCCAACTCTAAACCACCTCCAGTGGCTCTACTCTACCAGCTACATTAGGGCACTCCTCAGACATCTAAGCTGTGTGAAAACAAATTGTGCAGGTGCTTGTCTTATTAACTCTAATTTTGTGAGATTTGGGTTATCAGACAGAATGTGTACTATTTGAGAAGAGCGATATAATTAGCAAGCAAACAGGCATCTGGCAGTTTATAAATCATGCGAGTGGCAGGGTTGCATTCAGTTTACAAAACTGGCTTTATCTGGATTACGAAGTGAAAAAAAAAGTCCCAAATCCTTTAAGAGATTTTTTTCTTCCAATAATTTTCCCATTGAAAAATAAGTATGTGCTCTGATTAGCAAGGAATTAGAAAAATATAAACCATGAAAGCCAGGCTAGTCCCAAATTAAAAGGACTCCTATCCTGAAAGCTGGCCGCTGCAGAGGGACCATTCAAACCACAGAATGCCTTCGTCAATTTGAAAACCGTCAACGTCAGGGGATCTGACTACAGAATTAGGATGTTTAGATTTACAAAACTGTAGGAACATCCCTGCAGGTCTTTTGTTTGTTTGTATTGCATTTCTATTTTACCTCTGAAAAATTGTAACATACATTACTGTTTTCTGATAGAACAGCAAACATATCTTTCCTTGCTCTATATTCAAAATACATGAGAAAATTATATGGTAATCAACATGACTATAAGTCAGATAAGCATGAAGAAAAATAACAGAAGGTACAATTTTGCTAAGAGGAAAAAAAAAAATCCAGAAAAACAGAAGAATCCTCAGGAATGTTGAAGGAATAGCTATAATTTTCTTTCCAATAGATTTCTGGCAGTAGAAATAGAATAAGTAACATCTGTGCACCAAGTTTCAGATGCACAGAAAGAGGATTAGTCCTGTCAAGTCTTTGAGCAATAGCCTAAACTGTTTTCTATATGTTTTCTCTTTGGGAAAAAAAAAAAAAAAAAAAAAAGATCAGAAAAAAAGAACAGAAAACTGGAAGAATAACATTCTGTGTAATCGGGAACTGGCAGGCTTCACTCCCAGATAGTCTTTTCAAAATTGTCATTGAATATTTTTTGATGATTGAGCAGACTTTGTCCTTTCTTTTATTTGATCTTTTTTTCAGACACTCATATTAGGCATAGATATTCCAGAATAAATGAAAGTCCTGTTCCCGTTTAGAATAAATTTTTTAAAAGAAATTGTAAAAATTTTATACTAAAATACTTTTTCTAGAGAAAAAATATTAAAATGAGATTTGGCAGACCAAGACCTAAAACTTCTGTTCCACTGAAAGTTTTAAATTAGGTCACAAGTGACAGCAATTTATTAGACTGAAGAATAAAAAGTTTTAAAATATTTCTGGTAAGAATCAATCTGTTCCTTCAACTTTCTGAACATTTCAATGCAAAACTTTTAATATCTGTTATAAAACTCTTCCTCACACTGTCTGGAAAAACCTGAGTATTGTTTGTTTTAATTATATCCTATGAAAGTGTAGCTGCTACAGATTTTCTTCTCTCCGTAACTTTCTGATTAAAATGTTTTTTGTGAACGTATTATAGGAAAAAGAAGCATGATCCTTGCAAATACTAGATTTGGGCTGTGCATTGTCACCATGACTTGGAAGACCAATCTTAAAAAGAAACGTTTTACCAAGTGCCCCAGACAAGCACTAAATGCAGTGAATAATATGCAGTAATTTCTTTAAAAAACCGTATACCTGAGGGAATAAAGTAAGTAAACACAGCTGAATACGGTTGGTGAAGCTTTGATTCATTCCCTCCCTAAAGGGATGCAGCTTATATGTGAGGTTTTGCTGGTGTCTCTGAAACTACTAAACAAGAGCCTTCTTCATCTTAGGGGTTTTGGGGTGGGGGAGGACAATTAAGCAGTGCTGATGAAATCTATCAATTTTACTGTAATCGGCTGTCAAGACTAAGCAACAGGCAAAAAGGCTAAGACAAGGAAAGGAAAAAAAAAGAAAAGGAGCTACATAGCAATGTACTATTTCAACCACGATGAGAGATACTGTACTTGAAATAACTTAGAGATGTCTGCGTCCCTGCAGAGTCTGGTTTATAGCTGCTACTGACTGAAAGTTATATCAAAGATTCAATCCTGCTATGGATGCAACAGGATACCCCAGAACTGCACAATTCTTTTACTGAAACTTTCAGTCAAGTTCAGCATAAAAAGAAAGCAAAATTCCTATTGTACAGGCAACTAAATTCTAAGTCTAAATTCTAGTACTGTCTTCCCATGTGACTGTATTTTACTTACAAATCCTAAATTAGTTTCAATTGTACTGTAATACAAAATATAGGCTTCTTCAGCAATTAACAAGGACACCAAACAGTTGAGCCTGCACTCGTTGATGTCTATACACAGGCATTTCCTTCTTGAACCACCTTGTGACATGCATGACAACCTTACTTCTGCTACTTCAATGTGTTTTGAGGTTAACAGATATCCAAGACAATTTAAATTAACTTCGGGACAGACTCCGACAAGCTGCTGCACCGTGGCAGAAATGTTGCCAGCCTTTTGCATGCTCTTGCTGCAGGGAGGTGTCTAAAAGCACTCGCTCTGGCCACCACTGAAATACACATTTACTGGACACTGATTTCCTTATCTACCCATGTTGCTGCCCCAGTACACAGCTTAGCAAAGTGTGTTCCAGTAGGTTTCTCATTTGCTACTACCAGACACTGTGAAGGCCATTCTACCTGAAATGGAGTCTGTTCTTGTCTCTCGGTCAAGGAGTACGGCTCTACACACTCCTGAACACACAGGTGCCATTAATTTCTGACTGCCATTGCCTCAAATACAGTTAAGTAATTAAGAAGTTTTAGGGGCACACTCCTATTGCCTGTTTTACTCTGCTAAAAACTAGCAGCAATGCCAATTTAAAAAAAAAAAATTACTATGAATTTGCACTGCTGCAACTGAAAACAGAATGAGGTTATTACTGTATGTGACCAGTTCTTAAGTCATAGTCAATGTGCTTTGTACTTGACTGTAAAAAAATACAAATCCTTCATAAACTTCAATTGCAACTGAAATGTGTTGTAAAAATATCTAGGATGTATAGCACTGAAGGTGCAGACATTAGTGTACTATAACCCATTACCAGAAATAAATGATGGAGGGAAATAGGTGGTGTTTTCAGATCATGTTCCTGCTACTCCTCAACTGCTAAAACAGTCACTTAAAAGGTCACTGCAGCTTGCAACACTTGTGGTTCCCTTGGGACTACTCCGAGTTGTTAATTCAAATGACATGCATGCTTAAAAATCTGATAACCAAGGAACTGTACAGTGTCATCCCTTGGCATCAGAGAACTGTAATGAGCAAGAGTCTCAAGGCAACCAGATTAATTTTTAAGATCAAGTAGAAGCTCTGAAGATACAAGACATACAGAACTGTGTTTCTTTTTCAAGAGCAGTAAAATTTAATGCTGCTTCAGCTACTGACTTGAAATCACTAGTCTCCTCCACCCCAAAAATTATCTGGTTGGGACTTACCGTTACTCCAAAGAAGTTAGTTTCATTCATAGCATCCAGAAAAATTTTGCCAAGTCTGTGATTTGTATAGTTAAAATCTTCAATTTTTTGATGCTTGTTGGTGGCATTGAGATATTTCATTGCCCGCTGCAGAGTCTTAGCAATCACCCATATTCCATCATAGGCATAACCATGAAATTTGCTAGATTGTCCATCACCACGCTTAGCATTGTATTCCTTTTCATATTGCTGTGGAGTCTGCAGAAGAGAAAAACTTCAGGTTTACTTCAATACTGAATATTTTACAGATTTGGGTGCAAACCTACACCTTGAACTGCACGCTCCAATTTAGGGATGCGCATCAGTAATACAGAAAAGACTGTCAAAACAAACATTAAAGAAGAAATGTGTGCTGCCTGACTTACAAACCTGATGGTGAGACCAGGTAGGAGATCTAGGAGACAGAGAGACTGAAAAGCAATCGTTCTGCTTTTCTGTATGAAGGACAACTGGGGTTATTTTGCTTTTGTAGAAAAGGCTTCAGTTCAACCAAAGCTACCAGCACACTGGTAAGGCATAACTCTAGAACAGGGAAGAAGTCTGTATCGTGAAAATTAGTGGTCTGATTACACTTTATAGGTTAATGGAAATCAAATCACCTTTACTTGGGCAACTATTTGCATAATGTGAAGTTATACGAGTGGCAATTTGTCTATGTTTTACAAGTTCACTATGCTCTTGGTGGCGTGCTGTCTTATGATGAGCTGACTTTTTGTAAAGTTGTCTGTTGTGCTTACTCAGCAAGGCACGAAAGACAAAAAAAGGTGAAAAGGAGAAAACTAGCATGTTTATTCATTGGCCAAAATTTGCATGCATTTGTTCTGTGATAACATGTTGTGTACTTTGTGGAAATACCACATACTTACATATTTAAAACACGCCCTGATCCTGAATTTCAAGAGGCACAAATCACCAGTGAAATTAGCCATTTGCAGGATTTGGGTTAAACATAAAAGATTTGTGTTTCTGTGCTCAACTACTTAACTTGATATGATGCAGCACGTGACATTGCAGACTATAATTCAAGCTTTACTGTACATTTAAGTATAATGTTCTTAAAGAAAGAACAGGAGAGATTTCAGGCAAGAGACTTTACTGTTTCCTTACCCTGCAGCGAACTGGAATTGATTTCCAAATATATAAAAATTGCTAACCAGTGGAAAGATGAGAATAACCTTATGACTGCCAGCTCTCTTTACAGAAGAACCCTTCAGCTTCACCTCCCTCCCCTGTGCTTTGCTGTGTCAAGACACTTGTGAGACTACTAATTATATAATAAAACAGTTGGAGGGAAAATACTAACCCTTCCAGATATAGTCTTTATAATTTTTGAGCTGAGAGGCTCAAAATCCACTCCTATATAACCTTCCATTGCTGCAAGAAGATTTTTGCTGAGACACTGTGAGGAATTAATCCAGGATTCCCACCAAAGGTTTTCATACCACCCTGGAATAATCCACTGGTACTTGCTGCCATACATTTCTTCATCATAAGCCTACAAAGAAAGAAAAGTAGAAAAGTTAACAGACATTGTAATAGGCATAGTGAATATAAAATTAATTGTTTTCTGTTCATGTTTTTTCCATTATTAATGAAATTATGGCATAATTGAGGGATACACAAGTACTTTGAACAGTTTAGAATAATTACTTGCAAACAATGAAGACTCCATTCTTGAAGAATCCTGTCTTTAAAATTCAGGTCATGAGAAGAGAATGTACTAAAACCTATTTGCTTTCAATAGAATATTTATTCAAAAACAGAAAAATAAAATACTGGATTTTGAAATAGGGGAAGATAAAGAGGAACACTGGCAGACGGCACAGCATTGGCATAAAAAATTCTCAATAGCACAACTATTACATGAGTGGTAGGACCACCATGCTACTGCTAAATTATTATCATCCTAATAAACTAAACTAAATTATTATCATCCTAATACCATCCTAAAGATCACACAAAATAGGGCAAGATTAAACAAGAAAATTTGGATCCTAGGCAATATCAAATCACAATGTTGCAAATGTGAATTCTGTCACCATGCTAAAACAGAGAAAAGGAGACCGCAGGGATATTAAGTAATCAGTTTCTTTTGAGGAGCATGAATCAATAATAAATTGATAAAGCAAGCAAGTCTCAATGATTTCGTTCTTTTCAGGAAGAAATTTCTTCAGGTGAAATTCTATATTGTTTGAATACTGAATACAGTTCATTGTACGCCAAGATACTGAGATGGTGGTTATCTTCTTTCAATACATAGAAGATACATATAACAGGAAACAGAAATACTTTATTAGTCAGGCACACATGCTGTTGTGCCTAAAAGATGATCTATTCACAATAGATATTCTATTCCATCGTGAAGAGTGTTTTAGGATAAAATTCGCAAATTTGATCTCAGATGTTTCACTGTCTTGTAACTAGATATTTTTCTTTTGACATTTCAGTCAGACTCCATTTCAAAGCAGCAGGTTTCATGCTTCTTTGGCTCCCAATATAAGCAATACTGGAAATACAAGACATACTTATGAGACAAAAAGTTTTAGAAATAACAGGGTGCAACCTTAGAGCTTTTAACTGGAAAACTGCTACATATTTACAGAAGAATATGTTACAGCAGGAGGAAATTATGAGAATGCAGACAGGACATATTAGTCATTCAGAACATAACCATTTTGAAAAGTATCCCAAAGATCATACCAAAAGCCTACCAGATAAAAAAAGATGAATAGTAAAAAATATGAAATAGGACAGCCTCCTAAATATGTTAATACCCAAATTAAAATTGGACTTTAAATCTGTGAAGGTTATTGTAATGGTGGCAACTCAGTTCATAAATGCATTGTGCACAAAGCAGATTTGTTTAGCTGCTGGTTGCGGGAGCTTTTGTTCAGCCAAAATCAAATTTCATACATTTGTATACAATGCTGCTTGAACACGCTTCTGTCTGAAACTCAGTGTCTTGCATTTCGTATCTTACTTGTTCCACAATCCACACACATTTTTCTTCTTCTGCTCATTAATTCTACCTTTCCAGAAGCACATGTGCTTTTGCCCTCCTGCCCACCTCCAGTGCTCCTGCAGCTATGGCGACACTGCATCCCAGGTTCACCTACAAGCAAAACATCCCATCCTGCAATACTTTCTGATGTCTAAAAGGCTTTCCATTACACAATTAGGTCATTCAAGACCTTTCAGTGACACAGTGTCTTTTATTTGACTGTTTTCAAATCACTGAGGACACAAATTGAGAGAGAATAGTGCTTTTAGAGAAGAACAATCTTCTGTAGCTTCTCCTGCTAGAGAGATTAAAGTATCAAATCCTGTGTTGCAGGAAACTATTGGCTGTGAACAGTTCTGAAATCTGAGCTGTTGGAAATTCTCTGATTGCATAACCACTTGAGCCTGTTTCCTGCATAATCTGTAAATGTCCTGGGATATGGACTGAAAATTAAAAAGTTTCAAAACAGCCAGAAATTCCATCCTAGAAACAAGGGATCATTCCCAACAAGGTTGCACTGAATCTTTCACATTCCTGCAAGAATCTGGTTTAAAAAAAAACAAAACCAACTAACACTTTAAGAGTTGGCAGTTCTTCATTTGAGACCTGGTGGAACGATAGAGCTTGAAGGGTAGTCTGGGGAGGGCAAAAGAAGGAACAAAATCAGCTCCTCCAAAGCTGACTGCCGTGGCCATGCAGTCATTTTTCTAGTGACAGCACTGTCATGAGTGTTGAACATTTCAGTGTTTGGGTTCCAGAAGACTTATTTCAAAATAATGCTTTTTGCCACCATTTCCTCCTGTTGATTCTGCTAAAGGAAGGTTATTATGATGCTTATAAGACACATTTCCTAGAAATATGTGGATCTTTGCTGAACTGTTTGAATGCACACAGACCACTTCTTACAGGTGTTAGTTTCTAATGGGAAGATTTGTCAGCACACAAGAGCAAGGTGAAGCAGGTTTACAAGTGCTTTGTACCAACAGAACAGCATAAAGTAGCCGTATGTCTTCCTAATCTTTCCCACATGCCCTGTCTAGGCTGCAAAGCCAGGAGTTACTGTCACGCAGCCAGGGAACTGTTCTGGAGAGTCCTTTGTGAGACTGATTTGTTTCATTTTCTTAAACTTTTCATTCTTGTTTGAATCCACAAAGAGATGCATTTCGGTAAGACATCTTTCCATGTGTAGTAAACAATTACTAGCAGTTTGTTCAAACGGGCCTGCAAAACCTTACTGCCATTGAATATCTATCATGTTTCCAACATGACAGCATGGACACATCCTACATCCCACCTCTACGTGAATGCCTATAAACTCCTGAACTGCAATGAACCTCCATATGTTTCTCATTAAAAATCAATAGTGTCTTTAAATCCAAAACAGAGATTCAGTAGTAAAACTGTCAGCTCAAGAACAGCGTTCAGTCCAGTGCCCAGACAGTATTAAGCCTGACTTTAGTTATTCTTAAACACTGTTATTAATATTAAAGGTTTACTAAAAGAGCCACCTAAAGCTCATGCAGTGACCTACATAATAGTCATCTTCTTTAATTGTCTTCAGAAAAATAATTGTATCAGCTAGACATCAGTCTTGATGTGTGCATGGTTATACTGCATTATCTCTATGGCTCCAAGATAGTATGTTGGAAAAATTCCCACTAACAATTTTTTTAAATGAAATTTTCTGCACAACTGTAGTTTTCATTGGGAAGATGCAATTTTGTGTTAATCCAATTGAAAATGAAAAAAAATTATGTCTATCCAACACAGCTGATCATTTTGATTGTTGAAGTGTTAAGTTTTGAGCAAAATGCTCTAATTTCTATTCCACAAAAAATACCACATTCATCCCACTGAGGTGAAAACAACAGTAGAAAGCTAAGATTTCCAATAGAATTAAAATTGCTAACTGCTTTTGACACTGGTGTTAAATGAATAGCTAAGCTTCTTTAAATCATTGTAGGAAACACCTGCTAACATTTACTTTGGCTTGAGTTCGTCCCGTCATGTTTTTAAAGTTTGCCACTGAATTAGAATATCTTTTAGTCCATTTCTCTTTACGTGCTCCGCATATTTCATGTGTGTGTGTTTGGGGGGTGGGGGAATAGCCAGGCAAAATGAAAATGAGCATATAAACTCCAATGGATGTCCTGAGAAAACCTCACAGCGTATGACTGTTGAATCCAGACACAAGACTGAGGCAGACTTTAGAGATTTTCCCACCCACATAAATCCTTAGCAAAAACTAGTCCGGTTATAACCACAATCAGAAATAAAAATATCTTGCACAGCACAGTAGCACCTTCCTTTAACATACCCAAAGCCTATCTCTGACTGACAGACACCCTGCAAAATACGACAATCACAAGTGAAACCTGTCTGAAGACACACCTGGGGGAGGGGGCTAAAAAACTTGACATATCTAAAGTATTGTGCTCTTAGACACATAACTGTAGGAGCGCGTGAGTCAACAATATATTTTATGACTAATAAAAAGCTTACTGACATATTGTAGTGCATTAATGTATAAATGAGATACTCTGAACTGCCCTCTCCTGCATTCAGTCTCCTGCTGACACTCTCACATAAATACATTTATACAAGCCTAAATACTTGATCTCTCAGATTTCTCCAGGCTCCAGAAAAATCCACCTTATTATTTTTGACGCCAATGTATTTTAGAAGCAGCCATCACTCTTTAAAATTCTCAGAGTTATGCATGCTTCCCAAGTTCATACCAAACCCTTGCGGCAGAAAGCTGCACCAGACGTTTGTGTGGAAGAGACATCCCCCACCCGAAATCCTTCAGACTAGAGCGGTGCAGACAAGAGGACATCCTGCCCCTCTGAGGACCTCTAGGATTTCTTCAGTGGCCTCACAGGCACACGGACTTGGAAAAGGATTGTAGAGAAAGGCAAGTAGATACTAAGGGCAGTGTCTTATGCAAGGCCAATCTGTTGGCTTACGTTGGGTTGGGAGTTCTGACTGGGACCCCTCAGCTGGTGAAAAGTAGCCCAACCACAACAGATCTGAGGAGGAGCTGGGCCACAGAAGGACCATTCTTTCTCCCAGGAATGGAAAAATGGGAGATTATATCTGTCAATTCAATTTAAATGCGGGAACAAAAAGATCTATACACAAAGACCGATCAGAGATAAGAAGAATAAAAAAGAAAATAATGCTTTCCATTTCCTTTTGGATGCAAACAGATATTGTTTCTTCCAAATATACTCTACAATCTCCTTTCCAAATTTTGCCAGCAATGGGGACAGCTGCTGAGTAAGAGCCAACATGTGGCTGAGGCACATGTAGCGCACAGATTTTGAATTTCTGCCTTTCCTTTCTTTGCTTGGATAGGTAACTTTGTCTCTAAGTGAACACTAAAAAACACCCTCTGAAATTTAGATGCAATCATTATTGCTTTTCCATTATCTTTATTGTGTTCTTGGTTCATACAGGATTAATCTGGTTATTTAGACTAAGGACTCAATACCAATACAAAATTTAGACCACTAAAATCTGCCTGTTTGGGATTTCTTTTTTTTTTTTTTTAGCAGGTACAGATAAAGATCACATTTTAATCCTGCTTTCAATGACGATCACATTGTGCATGTTTGCAGCACACTCACACACACAAACAAGTGGAGAGGATAGGGAATTTTATGCATGCTGGTCTTAGCAGAATTGTTTTAATTCAAAACACTTTATTTTTTACAAATCAAAATTTCCTTTCATGTAAAACATGTAAAATGTACAGCGTCAAAAGTGCATGACATCTGTACAATTAGCAACATTTTAAGCAGCAGAAATTATTAGGATTGCTTAGTTAACATCTATAGGAACTGCTTGAACTTCTTATTCTTTTCAGAAGAAAACATGCAAAAGCACATACATGCAGACATTGCCACAAGAACACAACTCTTGGACAAGAGTCACTTCTTGCAGTTCTCTGTATCTGCTGCTACATATACAAGCATTTCCCTAGATCTGACACGAAGAGAAATGCTCAAGCTCGATTGGCACTGAATTCCACTACAGGAAAGCAATAAGAAGTAGTTAACCATACAGTCCATGCCTAAATTCCACTGAAGTCAAGTATAAAGTATTTTATTGAAACAGAAATGGAGCTAAGCATGTGTAACCTCTCTTGATGATATAAACCTTGACAGAGCTGAACACCATGAAGAAATGTTTATGCTCAAATGTATTTTTTATTCAAATGCAACACATTCTTTATTCTGATATGCAATTAAATATATTTACTTACACAGCAGAAAACTTTCACAGCCATTTCCTCATCAAACTGGCCAAGGATTATCCGAACATCATTACCCTGCAGATTGAATAAAATACGTGGCAGTCAAACACAGTCACAGCCTTTCCAGAAACCATATCAGATGGCCATTCAAATCGTGTAGAGAGTTAGCACAGACTACAGCTGCAGACAGCCAAATTAATTCAGAACTATTCCACTTTCTGCAAGTTCAAGAACTTGAAATACTGCAAGAGAGAGCAGCTGAGGTGTTTGAAGAAAATGATTAAGCACTAATGAGAATAAAACTGTAATGTTTACCTTGTCAAATATTACTAGTAAATAACACTAAAGTATCAAATATTCTTTTGATCCCTTTCAATATTTCTTTAAAAATTTTGCATATTAAAACCAGCTGAAAATCACTGCTTACATAAACTAATGCTGTAAAGTTGAGAGACTGGAGATTTTTAAGTGAGATAAAATGCCTTGATATTATGCCTGCTTTAGTAATTTTTAGAGGTTTTACTCATACAACATCTTTACAGTCACTATAACACAATGCCAATCCCTCCTCTTCACTTCCACCTCTACACATCAAAATAAAAAAAAAAAAATCACACTTTAAGAATCTATGACTGAAGTCAAGAGATATCATTTTACTTTCTTACTTTGAAATATATTAAGAAAATACTCCTAAGCTCAGGAGCACATGCAGGAAAATATTTCTTCAGGAACTGGGCTAGCTTTTTTCTCATGCGAAAAATTGCTGCTAACATCTATAAAACACACAAGAGATAGCTTTTTATGACTTAATATTACCTTTTATTTCTCACAAAAGCTGATATCTCGGCAAAAGGTTGAGCAAATCTAATTTTTCATTTCTTTTATAAAACACTTGGTTAGAATTACTAATGGCTCTTCCCCTCTCCAGAGAAAAAAGAAACAGATGATTCAGTGTGAATTTCAGTGGAAAAAAACATTTCAGTTTTAATTAAATCAATTTATCAAAGATTTTCAGTTTAGATAATTTTGATGTTTATTTTCTGTTCAGCAGAAAATATTATGATGGACAGTGCAAAAAGACACTAAATGTTTCTACAATTAAATCCATGAAATTAGTATCACTCTTAGAATGGTTAAAGTCAGAAAGAATGTAATATGCTTTGCTCATTCTGAACCTGTGTATTTTCAGGAAGTCTCCTTCTCTTTATTTTTACATTCAGCTGCAGATCAGTAATGTGAATCTTAATGAAGTGGATTAGATTCTTTTTAAATCTAACAAGGTCACATGAAACTAAACAAACAAATTACACAAATTACAGCAATAGTATAATAGTTTTGTAAGGACAATAATGGATTTAGGAATTCTGCAGAAAAATATCCCCTCATTCATTATTTTTATTTTTCACATTTTAAAAATAATTTTGACCACTCTTGGAACTCCGATTAAATTGCTTGACCTCTCTGAACATAAAAATGCAGATTGAATGTTTCAAAATAAGAGTAGCAAAGTTTGGTTAAAAAATAAATGACACACCATTAAATTATTAAACTTAAAATTGAATAAATTTTTTTAATTTTATAATGATAAGAACCAATTTTAAAAAAAACAGCACTTGTGCGGCCTCATAGTTTTAGAGCACCAGAGACTGTAGGCAGGTTGTAGAGAGTAACTGTATAGTGTATGTGCAACTATGATGCCCACTGGCTATGCAACAACCTTCAGACTGAAGGTGCAGTGGCTGTGGTATGTGGTACCATGCCTTAAGACATTACTTCCACCTGATTATCCCATAAACCAGAGTACATTTCCCACAGTTATTATTTTTTTACTGTAAAGCAGTACAAAACCTGTACAGTTCACCCTCCTCCCCCCCCGCCCCATCCTCTCCCATTCAATAACCTTACTGTCTGCAAGGATTGTCTTACACTAACACCATCGTGCAATTAGTTTGGAAGTAGCACTCAGACACATTCAGACACATGAATATGTGGCTTTACAATTCCTTTTGTCTACAGGCATGCAAGGAAACAGGTACTCAAGAAACTCATCTTGAAAATGTTTTTCATACAAGGCACAGCAGAGCACCCATTCCAACACTGACAGTCAATCCTATTTTCAAACATACTGTGCTCTTCAGGCACCCAAGCAAAAGGATGTATTTGCTGATTTGTCCAGCTGTTAGCAGATCCCAGTTCTGAATGTCTGATCATCTTCATATCTGACTAATGATTTCAAGATTTTCTTGATTCTTGGATTTTCTGTCAGGCTGCAACCTCCGCTTCCATCATGAGCTGAGCTTCCAATGCCAGAGCAGGAAATTTGCAAACTGTGAGAACCACATCCAAACCAAGTTGAGAATCACCGAAGCTCAACTAGAAATCTACATGGTCCAAGTTCAAAGATCAGCAATTGCTCTAGAACTTGACGATCCCTGATGTTCTGTATCCTTGGGATGTATGATCGAGCTGAGATGCAATACCCAAATGTTCTTTTGCCTAAATTAATGAGTTTCCATGTAAACACATAAATTACTGTTTTTGAAGCACTCAGTACAGTAAGGAGGACATCAACATGTCTGTGTTCACTAAAAGATTTGGATGGTATCCAACCACAAACTGACTGAAGAAGATCAAAAGAAATGTTCTATTACCACTTATTAAAGAATAGGTCATGAGTTCTTCCTTTAAAGTGCCATTGAAGACTACAGCAAAAGAAAGATGAATTCTGGTTTTTTTCCAAAGACTTTGAGGTTATAACCTTAAAAATGTTTTTTCCCATGTCTTTTTATGTGCAATATGCTAAGCAAAAGAAGGTTTCTCTGACAAGAATATGAATCCCTAGTTCTCCTCAACATTTGTCCAGCTGTTAACCCTTTGAGGGATGGGGAAAATCACAGTCCACATATGTTTAGTACTGGCAAAGAGATGGATCCAAGAGGATAATGCGTGATAGTCAGCAAATAAAGTGACTGGAGGTAGGAACCAGTGAGAGAAAAAAGGGCACATGGGAAGGAGAGACAGACCCAATAATGAATCTGAGTAATGAGTATTTACACTTTTTAGGCAAAGATGGAGCAAACAGCTGGAGAGGTAGCAGCAGGATTGAGACCAGTATTGAATAAGGGGCTTGGGAGAGAGGATTAGTACTGTTCAAGAGTATGGCAAATAGGAAGGTTCACAGACAATTACAGTTAGGACAACTGCAATCTCAGAAAGTAAGCCCAGAAGAAAATCTAGACAAAGATGAGAAATCAGAGAAGCAGAACATAGCATTGGGTAAGCACGGAACGTCAGACTGGGATGAAGATCTGGAATGAGACAGGGATGTTGCTGGGTTAAGCAGAGAGTATGGGTTCGCAGGGTCAAGCTGACAGTGAATATATAGCTGAATATCTTTTTCTTTAGCCAGCTTCACAAAGTTGCATCATGAAGAACACAACAGATAGTTCTGGTTGTTTAGTCATGTATGGGAAATCACAAAAGATTCGTCCTGTTTATAACCACCCAGCTATCAATATGATGCTGTGAGCTGCAGTGTTTGAGATTTCGTGGCTTGCATTTAGGAAGAGTGGAAAATTTTATATGCAGTCATGTAACAAAAGAATTGTACACTAGAACACATGTAAAACAAACTAATTCAGGAAAGTCTGTACAATAGTCTTTTCTCTTCCATGCATGACATTATTCCTCTGTGCAATGACACACTCTTCAGTAAGCCTCTTTCTCTCCAGCTCTGCTTTTTGCATCCCACTCCACACTCTTCCCTAAATTTATTCCTAAAGAATTGCATTCAACATGGTAAATCAGCCCAGATCCATTTGATGCCAGGCTTGGGTCTGCTGGCTCTTTTCTGCACAAAAGACACTGCAGCTTCAAATTCTTGCAACTGGACATAGCTCATATTCCTTGCAGAGATTTTGTCTGGATGGATAGAGAAGTGTGCATTGAAGTTTATCAGAGCTGGGTTCATTTCAGTGCTCACAGGTCAGGGTATATGTCCACATTACAGTCTGATGCAAAGAGATACATCAGACACTTACTGGAGCATAATTTTTCCCCCCTTCAGTCAGACTGTTAACTGACTATCAATCAGCATGATTTCCTGGCAAGGATACACCATTCCTTTACATCAACCCTCATGGGACTGACACAAGTTAACACGGTGTAACTGTCTTGTAGGTATTAAAGAACTCACCCACTGGATCCCAGCAAGTGTCAAGTACTCTTTCTTTCTCATAGAGTTGTAAATTGCTTGCATGGAGCTAAAGCATATTTGACAGAAGAGTTTTTAATTCATGGAACTAGGTAGGTGATCTATGAGATGATTAAAAACATCCCAGGGGGAAGGAAACTCTCAAAACTGCACTTACATAAAAAGACCAATGTTTAGACCATTTGCCATATGGTGAGCTGTCATATTTACTCTTCTCAGAGATCAGAGTAGCAGTATCAGCATTTAAGCTTTGCCCTTCAGTAAGCAATACATATGTTCCCATATGGACTAAAGTTCAAACGAGAAAATGAAGAACAGTTACATTTCATTTACCCACATTTGTGGTGGACTCTCCATAAAAACATGTCTTATAAATGAAGAATAACCTCAAGAATTAATGACTCTCTTGCTCCCTTCTTTCTTTCTTTCTTATAGGTGAGGATACTATTCATCCACCAGATAAAAATTGTCTTTGGTACTACCGGCAGATGCGTAGTATAAACCCTGAAGACAGCGAGGATCAAGACATCTAAGATGCTCCACTGAGGGAAGAAGAACAACTTCTCTCCTTCACTGCCATTTCTAACATCCTCAGATACGAGGCACTCTTCAGTCTTTTCAGAATTTTTGAGTGATGCACATTACGCTGGAATAGGCTGCTATTTTTTTTTCAGCTTGCAGAGCTTCCCTTCTGTGATCAGATTTTAATCTGTCTCATTTCTAATGAATAACACTATAACATGTTATATTACACAGATTTCCAGAGAAGGATTGCTACAATATCTCATCTGCCAGGAAAAGTCAATGTCTTGGCAGGCTCTTTATGATATATCTAAATTGAAGAGCTGAGATACTCTGTCATATTCTCTACCATGTATCTGACAGTCAAGACATTATCAATAAATCTACTCAAAGCTGGGTAACTTTGTCAATAGAGCTATACACATGTTCTGCCTTCTAAACGCCGGATGCCTACTTGAAGAACTATAGACGAGCCTCTGAACTTAGCTATGGAATGACTGACAGTGAAGGTGAATTGGAGGATGTCAGCTCCCACCATCACAACACACTGGCTAAACTTGCTGATGCCTGTATTAGTGTGCGTATCACTTAGATTGAGGCTGCATCCAAACTTGTTCCCAGCCCAAAATTTTAAAATTTAATTATCTTGACTGTTAGAATGAAAGATCATGTTCGGTCGGTATCCAAAACACCATTGTATCTGAGAAATCAGATGGAAATGGTTTAGTTGAATTGGAATTCATATATTGCAATTTTTTTGTCCTATGTGAAAGATAGAAGAAAGTTGGAAGCAGAACTGTTATTGCTCATAGAATTTGCCTGTGCATGCTTAGAATTTTTAAACATTTAAGTTGATGTACAAACACATATCCTCCAACATCGCTCTCTCTGAACATAAAAATGAATTATAAAGATACCCTTAATCCTGAATTTCCTTTCCAACTGTGATTCAGCGTCTGGAGCCAATGTAGTAAAAGTTAAGATGTTACTTGGAAAAATTATTTCTGTAAATCAAACCAGGTATTTCTATTTTGTACTGCATCATCATTAATTTCATTAACTTAAACTAAGTTTATGAAAAGGAAAGTTATTTTATGTCTATTTTAATCACAAGTACATAAGCACATAGCAGTTTACCTATTATAGATTTACATCTTGAAGAAAGGAATGAACATTTTCAGAATTGGATAGCTAATCTCTGCCTGACATATGTACCTAAAGACAAGTAACCCTCTATTCCTGTTAATAATAAGCAATTGTCTATGTAATTTCTTATTTACTGTTGTAGTAATTTGTTTTGAAAAAGAAATCGAGAGATAACTTTAATATATTGAATGATAGAGTGTTCTGGTCTTCCCTGTAAAAGAAACAGCATGTTGTTGGCACACAGGAAGGCTAGAAACTCATTGCTGCTTCTAACCTTCAGCCTAAATGTACATGTCTATATACATTTTTTCTTGTTATTACGTCATCCATTGGTTGACACAGCTCTGCGTTCAGAATTGTTAGTTTTCTGATGCCAGGGTTAAAGACCTTGTCAAAAATGTGGTCTTTACTGATAACATGTACTGGAATCTTTTCAACCCCAGATAGGAAATGCAAACTGGCTTAGACTGGACAGACACAAAAGGCTTCCTAGAAACGTAATCTTTATCTATTTATACTTTAAACATTCAGACTTGCATCTCTAGACTGTGGGAATAATAAAGCACGCTTACTTTACCATGCTTCAGACCTTTTCCAGTTAGCTTCAGTAGTGGCTTAGAGTTATAACAGTTGATATCCTTGCCTTAATTGTAGTTTTTTGATACCATTCAGTTTAGTAGGTTTTTTTTTTAAATCCATTTTACACATATCATAGTATTTGCAGGATTGTGGCTTTGATGGTCTGTCATAAGTATTTGATGCCAGCAACGATTTTATCTTCACCAATTAAAAGTGCTTGCTCTTGCTCTTCAATCATTTTTTCATGTTCATATGCAGTTTAAGATTCATATCTCCTATCTAGTTTATTGTTGTTTGCATTGCATGGTAATGTTAAAATATAACTTTAATATTACGAGATACCAGGAACCTAATAAATCATTATAGTAAGAGAAAAATAGTAAGTTATTATGCTATCAAATCAATTTTTCCTTTTTTTTTCTGAGATTCATCTGAAATAATGCAGATGATTATAAGCAAAGAATTCAATCTAAAATATGTAACGAAGCTAATGGAAAGATGCTCGATGCTTTTTCTACATGATGATTTACCTTAAAAGCATTCTGGTTCCAAATCTCAAGAGCTTTCAGTAAGACTGGTGCTTTAGGTACAAACAAGACAACAACAACGTGCTTTACTTTGTGTCCTTGTCAAGAACTACAAAAATATTTACTATACGCATGGACATTCATTGATGTAAGCAGGACTAGCCCCTCAAAATGCGATTTGTTAACCTTACTATGCAACAGAATGTAGCTGTGTGTCTTCTTACGCAAATTTTGTTTAAATAGCCTTCTTCATATGAAAAAATACTTAAATCCAATGCCATGACATAATCATAACTTTATTACTCAAACAGCAGCACATACCTTTAGCTTCTTTACACTCGTGCAAGGATCATTGGAGAAACTCTCAGTATCTGAAATTTCGATGTCTTCACCATACAGGACACCAGTCAGATCATTCCTCACCTGTCAGAAGTTGAGAAAAAGGCAAACTAATGAACTGAGACTCAGTGAGAAGGAAACAGATGGACTATATTTATCACTGTAATGACAAGCAATGATCTCAAGGATGATATATGCACCCACATGGGTTTTTTCCTATTTTGCCTAAAATCTGATGAAGACACTATTCTTTTACAACCGTAATCTACTATGAACAGGTGTACTACATAAAGAGCTTTACTACTTGTGACAAAAAGTTCACAGTGGTCTCCCACTTTCCATCATGGCAATGGACAATTCTTGTGCATATCTAGCACTGTTAAGACCAAAAGCTTTCCAGTAGCCAAAGTGATGTTTGAGACTGTGTAAAGAGAATAGACTCATTCAAGGTAACCCTTACATATTCTCAGTGCTGAGGGCTGATTTGAAACCACCATCAGCTGGTCCTAGCATGAATCAGCAGAGCTAAATTTATGTCAGTTAGGGTCTGGTAAAGTTTAAGGAACTCCTCTGTGCCCTTCCCCTCTCTTCAAGCATGCATCTCTCTGCATGGGGCAGCAAGTGGAACGGTTTGTTTAAAGGTGACACAAGCAGCCACCTATCAACAGATTTTCTCACCTGTTTTTTTCTAGTGGCAAGACTCTCTCCTCTTTGAGCTGCCTAACAGCACAAAGAAGCCAGACAACATACAAAACAATCTGGTTTACAGATTTAGGGTTTTTTTCCTTATAACTACTTCAAGCTTTTCTGTCTTAATCATTGCTGGTTTTCCTCCAGCAACATGACTGAAAAAACAGAATTTCACATTACTATTCCTAATAGATGAGCAAAAATAATTTTAACTGGAGATAACATGGTTGCAGTTTGAAATGAAGAAAGCAGCACACCAATTTTAATTTAATAAAATTGTGAGCACATTCATTGCACTCATTGTCTTTTTTGTGTGTTATATCAGACACAGGAGAAGCAAATCACAGTGTAAAACAGGTATCTCAAATGCAAATGGAGAAAATACAATACACGGAAAAGCAATATATACGATATTAAACAAGAAAATTTATAAGTGTATAAATCATATGCCGAAACTTTCCAGTGATGCTCTCTGTGGGATGTAGCAATTACACATTTTAAATCTCCCTCCCAACTGTCCTTTTCCTTCACCTCTTCTGAGAGAGAAGCACAGCTCATTCAAAACAATCTGAAAATATTTCATATACAGTGACATGTTCAAGTAAAGAAGTGGTATCTGCCCTTGGGGAGTAGGAACTTCTCCATTTGAACTGAAATAACCACAAAGTTTATACAACGAGAAGACATTTTATCCATGCAAAAATAAGACCCAGCTATTGAAAAATTTCCTGGGCTGAAAGACACTCATGCCTAAGTATATAATAAAAGCAAGCGGATGCACTGGTACGGGAAAGGTCACAGGTGAGGCTTCTGAGTTCCACTGGTAACTTTGCTTTCAAGACAAACTCCTCTCTTCAGTAATCCTTCAGCCTTTCTTTAATATATGTTCGTGAGTATCCTCCCAGTCTATGCATATTAGTGGTTCTGCTGGGTGTACTTCACACTTTCACATTTACCATGCAACTCGGTTATTTTTTTCAGTGTGCTGCTTAACTGTCAAACAGCAACTCAGTTTTTGGTACAAAAGAGAAACGTTAAGACTAATTTTGCGCTTTTGCAACTTTCTTCATTACAAAGAAGCATAATCTGGTTTCTACAATGTAGTGATTGCATTAATTGATCCTCAAACAGCATTCCACCTCTTTGCTGTTCCCTTTAAGTTCATCTTACCAAGTTTCTTGGTTGACCAATAAAGTATTTCCTCAAGATCATTACTACACTGGCTGCCTTAATTACTTCTTTCATGGCATCTGCTTCTTCTTATCCCTTTTAGTAATGCTTTAAAATTACTAAGACATATTTTTACATGATAACCTTTCACAATTATTAAAACAAGTAGACATATAGATACTTATTTTATTAAAAACTATTTTATTTTACAGAAGAAACAGTCAGAATGGTCAGTTCACCAAGATTTGAATTATATCCTGCATCCTTTTGTGATGTTATACACCCAGTTTTTAAGTGCATTCTGTGAAAATATATTAACTGACAAAAAATGATCAGTAGTGACTCCTTTTTCTGCTAGTCTACTGGTAAAAAGAATGATAGATATTTTAACTCCAGCAACACCATTAACTGCTCCTTGTGATACAGGTCTTTCTCAATACAAAGAAAAATTGCTTTTCTGAAACAAACTGTCACTGATAACAAAAGAAAACAGACTTCTCTTGATCATAGCTTAGCTAAAGTCCAAAATCCTTCTCCCTAGTACAAAAGTTCACTAAAACTGTCATATGTTACTTACAAAAATTAAAATTCTCCTTAGCTAAGAGAGCTGTACTTTCCAAAGGCATACAGCTTGTCATATGCTTGTACCCCATACCGTCCTATCTTTTTCTCTAAAACAAAAAAATTTTAAGTTGCAGGTTTGCTTTTCCGATATTTTCTTGATTTTTTTCTGGAGCCATTTCTAGTCCTTTTAATCTCAGGGAGACTAGACTAACATTACTCATCTGATCTGAGTAGAAAACAGCTGATTCACATAACACATTTTAGTCAAATTAGACCACTATTAACATCAGAAAAATGATAAAAAATACACTTTTAATATTATTAAAATAAAATAACACTTACAGATAAGCTTTAGTGAAGGGCACAAGGCTGGTATTTGATTAGATTTCAGACTGTCTACTGACTTGCTTTGATTTCTTGCCTTCAGAACCTGACCATGAACTTTGCAACTGAGGTATTCAATTCCATATTAATTTTTTTCTGAACTACATTTATTTAAATTCAGAAACTCATAAATTTCTTTAACACCCTCCTGCCCCATCTGCAAGAATTCCACTACTCTGCCACTTTCAGGCTCTTAGACTTTTCACTGAACTACCCATTAAACTCCCAAAAGACACATCTTATCAGATTTGGTGCCAGAAATTTTGGAAATGCTTTCTCTTCACTGTCATAATTGGATATCAGATGCTTTTCAGATGCATCTGTGGTGGAGATTTTGTGAAAAGAAAGGTGGTTCTTTCCAATTATCACAACAAGATATTAGGAGATTTATAAGAATTTACAAGATTTATATTATTTTTCTAGAAGACAATTTTTTTTCCCCCTTTCAGTGCTATAAGCACTAGTCTGACAAATCTCATCTTGTGCCTGTTGTGGGGGTGTTTCCACTACATATTCCACTCTTTGATTCCTATTTGCACACTTTTTTGTCACCATCCTCAGGTTCTTTTCTTGCTTTCTAAATATATTTGATGGCATAACTGGCTGGGTAGACGAGGGCAGAGCAGTGGATGTTGTCTACCTTGACTTCAGCAAGGCTTTTGACACTGTCTCCCATAACATCCTCCTAGGGAAGCTCAGGAAGTGTGGGCTGGATGAGTGGTCAGTGAGGTGGATTGAGAACTGGCTGAATGGCAGAACTCAGAGGGTTGTCTTCAGCAACACTGAATCTAGTTGGAGGCCTGTAACTAGTGGTGTCCTCAGGGGTCAGTACTTGGCCTGGTCTTATTCAACTTATTCATCCATGACCTGGATGAAGAGTTAGAAAGTACCCTCAGCAAGTTTGTTGATGACACAAAACTGGGAGGAGTGGTGAATACACCAGAAGTCTGTGCTGCCATTCAGCGTGACCTGGACAGGCTGGAAAGTTGGGCAGAGAGGAACCGGAGGAAGTTCAACAAGGGCAAGTGCAGGGTCCTGCA